ATGTGTATATATATATTTGCAAGACCTATCGAACGATGAATCATGTGTGTAGCATGCTTTTGATAATCAGTTTCTTCGTCATGTTCCAAGACCATTTTAACAATGTGACGATCGGTTGTGAAAATCAAATCGTTTCCGATTCTGTAGCAATAAATTTTTCACAGCAGTGTCATTATAATTACAAAGGAACGAGCGATTTTATAACAGTAGTAACATTTCGATCAGTATTGTAATAATACACGTTGTCACATTGTTTGAAACAGTCAGGCAAGGAATCTTTTGACCGTTTATTAACATGTTTATATAGAATAATATATTTTAAAAATTGCATGAATTGTAATCGTGAATTGTCAATGTGTTCCTTTTTCGTTAATATTATTCAGCGTATCAAATATGTTTTATTTTTTTCTCTCCTTTTAGTTTTGTCAGATATCGTTTATTATACATAATTATTGTCTGATTACTGTTGTATTATATTATTTATGCATAATGATTAATTGTCGGTATATAATTAACATTACAAGTTTTATTTCTTTTTGATCTACTATCGTTTTTGTTATTTAATACTAAGCTATTGTTGGCTGTACGTGTTTCAGAGCTTATACGCTTATTACCGTTTTTCTAATACTGCTTAATTTTATATAAATTATTGTAAATATTATGTGCAACAGTACATCCCCATGGGTGAACGTTTAAACAAATTGACGACTGAACATATTTGATGATATATTTATGCACTCTCAACCTTTAATTGTAAAGAACATACTATTTCGATACCGACGTAATGGAGTTTATATAGATACGTTACTTTATTTACTTTTTCACTTTGTTTCTGATTCCAAGTATCAGTTTGTTTAAATAATTTTCGATCGACTTGAATAAAAGGAACGAATGTACCGTAGATGTACTTGTCTTTAGTTTGTTAGCGAGACTAAAAGAAGAAACTTTTTCATATAGTTCTCGTTATTATCCTACTTGTAATTTATTTACGTACCAAACGTGGCATAAATGATAATACGATCAATGCTGATTAAACAGCATCAATATTACAAACATGTGCTGTTGCTTAAATTTAAAAATTGACAGTAATTACCATTTGAAAAACTGTATGTACGACTGGCAATAAACATTAAATCGTACGGTCGTATGATTCCTCACAAGTATCCAGTCGAATATTATAAAAATAAAAAGATCGATTCAATATCGTTTAATTAATTAGGTAGTATAAGTGTATGAATTTAATAATGTATTCTTGCAGAAATACGATGCATTCGCATTATTGTGTGTCACACACTACCTGTTGATCTTTAGGAGAGATGATTGTATATACTTTGGGATCATTATATATATATATATATATATTTAGTTTGTTCACGGATTTCTTTCAAACGACTCGAGGTCGTCGTCGAGTAAACGCGTAGAAATCTTTGTGTCTCGTTTTGTTTAAGGACATATGGACTCTTAGATTTTGTGAACAACAGAGGAGATTAGTTTTAGAAATATTTGTTTGTTTGTGGAAGGACGAGGCTGTGGAGGGCGCACTCAGGGAGATAGGGCTTTTGTGAACCCAAGAAACAGCAAAAAAAAACTCGACAAAAGCGACAAAAGCAACAATTTCGATCAAGAGAAAATCGACTGGAACGATTCAAGAAACGACCCCTTCACTCACACACTTCTTCACGATGCCATTATACATCAAATTTACCAATTCAACTGTCGTGTTTTTATACGTATTAATCGAAATTTTTCAAAAGAATATCAATATACTTTTATACATACACACACATAAATATATATATACACCCAGTAGCCAGGCCAATTATTATACATTTGATAACAATATTAACCGTTTATCTCGTCAACGTTTTTCTCGTCGATCGTCAAAATTGTTTTAGGTTTACAATCATTTAAATTAGTTGGATCAGTAATGGGATAATAACATTAGATCACTGTTAGAGTAGCAATCAAGACCGTACTGTGGCAATAAAAATTAGCACTATTAATTCGCTTGTTAATGGTGTTCTTCTCAAGAAAAAGACTCGTCGAATCGAGGAAATAACAATTGTATCATAGTATTAGAAATTATTTATTTTAAATAGTATTAGCCAATTTATGTACTTTATATATAAAGTAGTATTTAAATAGTATTTTGCAGAGATTTTTACATGTGTATTTATACGTGTGTATATATAAACACAGTGTCAATTTTCTAATATCGTTATAACATGATTACCGATAACACAGTGCTAGTATGATGATATATAATAATAAATGTGTACACGAAGAATTTTCAATTTCTTATAAACGTGACTCTCTCTCTCTCTCTCTCTCTCTCTCTCTCTCTCTCTCTCTCTCTCCGTAATTCATAAATAATTGCCATTTCTCGTTTCAGACGTTGTGAATTTTATACTTGGAATGTTTCAAGTTAATTACAATTGTAATCGTCGTCCCACGTTCTAAATTGTAACGTATGATTTATTTAATTTTCACTTGATTCATCAATTGCAAGCATGGTTTATTCAATGCTTGCAGTTCTTTACGAGAATCAAGTGCTTGTTTTATCGTCCGGTTATACGTGTATGTGTGTGTGTATGTGAGACTTTTATAAAGAGTATGAAAAGTTATGAAAAGGGTTCGATTTACAGCTTGAAGCTGCAACGAAGGAGAAAAGAAAGAATTAATTGCAAAAAAATACGAGAGAACTAGGTACGTGTTAGTTTTTATATATATACACATATTTAATTACGTAGTAGTTGAATAACGTGCAGCATTCAAGAATAACAATAATTGACCCCTCTTCATATAATCAAAAACATTCGTACGATACTTTCTGATTAATATGAAACTAACATCCTGTACGTTAATACACACAATTGGATTATACAACACAATTTTCCAATCTTGATTAATGTTGGCACTCGTCTCTTGTCGAATCTGTTTCAGGAGGACACCCCACAGGGATTGTTCGACGACTACGGCTTGGGATAATACTTTTGCCTCGTTTGAAAGAGTGACCGTTCACTTTGAAGCACAAGAATCAGTTAAACGTGCGAGTTCGATTAGTGTATTGTAAGTGTATGTAACTATATAAAATTTTGACTTTGCAGTCGATTTTAAACGCTCTTCTCGAATGAAAGTGAACGAATTCAGGTAGAGTAAAAGAAGAAGAGCAGAGTTTCGTTCATTACGTATATGCACCCACACACACACACACACAGATATATATATATAGCTCTAATTATAGTTTGTTTAAAAAATTGCATCTAGTTGACTTGTAAAAAAAAAGTTGATACAGTAAAGATTAATTATTTAAACAAAGGTGCTACATCCACAGAGTTGTCAGAGTTACAGGATCGACGTATTGTCAAAAGTCAGCGATACATGGCATTTATTCAACGTTCCATTGTTCTAAAGAATACTTTACGATTAAACCGACCGACAATGTTAATCGACGTTGAGCCGATTCGTTTTAATTTTTTACAACCACCAAACAGTTTAACTGTCGGTTTTATCACAACGTCACGTATGTCAGTGCTTGTATGTAAACGCTGTTGATCGACAAACAACGTGGTGCAAGAAACAACACTGAGCAAGTTCCATTACTCTTTCTTTGTGCCGCATTTATTACACATTGTACTGTGCTGTTGTCATAAATACAAGACTCGTTTAAATATTATCGCTCTATATCCTCGTTGTTACAGTGTTTGTAAAGAAAGACGTTGCTTTACGTTCCGTCCACGATAATTAAGGAAATCGGCAGACTGAAACGTTAGCCTGGTTCAGGAAACAGTCGTTGTTAAATCTCAAGTGTAACTATTGTTCGAAAAATAAAATTCAAATTTAAGACAGATGAATAATGACAATAATGCCGAGTTATATACTGTACATTCCATGATCATCGTTTATTTATCAAATAATTACATAAATAATAATCACATACGTACGTACCGTTGACAAATTCAGAAATTAATCAATCAACTAGAACGATTTTTTAAACTTATCCCACAGCTGACGTCTCAAATACGTAATGCGCCTCTCGATCTTGTCCTCTACTCCGAAATTTTGATACGAGATACAAAGTACTTCGTACTTTTTGCCTCGCAACAAATGAGTGTACAGTTTAATTAGTCCCTGGTGATCCGTGTTACCCAGACACGTATCATAGTAATCTACCATCAACATGGCTATCCTAAAAAAAACGTATTGATCGTTATAACGCCCATGCGATGCCGGTATACTGCCGGATACTCACTTTGTGAATTTTCTAGTATTATCTACCTCGTTGGCGACCATCGGTTTGAAATTTGAATCAACGTACAGTTCAGCGTCTGCGTTACAGTTTAATAAATTCGTTCATTTTATACCAATTTGGTTTCTAGTGCTACCAATCATACATATTTACCCAAGAGAAATCCCATTTTACTATTTACGTTCATTCTAAAATGCGCGGTCGACGGCATCATATTCTTTAACGTCGACTCCAACGCGCTCACGTACTTTTCCTTTTGTTTCGACCTTGTGCTCACAACGTACGGGACAGTGTCAGTGTTTAAAAACGGTCCTGGTGGAAACGTATCATCGAATTTAACAAACGATTATTAAACAACATAGAGATAACGTGTACGCGAATAATTTTACCAGAATAATTTTTCAACACGTGCTGAGCGTATCCATTGATGTTTAGCAATTTCAGTTGATACGATAATTTCCTCTTCGGATCTGCAATGTGCAAACCATCGAGTGTCAATAAGTAGTGATGATGATGATGATGATGATGATGATGATGATGTGACTCGACTCAATCGATAATGATTTTACATACCGTGAAACATAACTTTGGATATAAACTTGTCGTTTAGCACAGACTCCACTTGCAAACTCTGTGCTCTATTGAATACAACGTAACACCATACAAGATTTAGCCAATTACTGTGTCCCAATGTCTCCAGTGTTAATTGTGGTTTGTATTTCTAATTTATAAGAGTAATAATTAAAAGAAGAAGAAGAAGAAGAAGAAGAAGAAGAAGGAGATACCGGTATCGGACGAGTTGACAATAAGAATAATACAAAACACGTACTTGAATTATGTCGCCAGTGTGTTTGGAATCGTATCCCAATGTAGCTAAAGATAATAAAACACTGGCAATCTGTTTGGTTTTATATCTACTTTTTGCATTGACAATGTCTTTGCAGATAACGTCGAGAAAATGATTGTTCCTATATCTAACGTACGCCATTGACTTCATTATTGAGACTACCGTTACATGAGGAATATCGCCGAGTGTCTCGTCGCCGCCGTTGGTACCCTTAATACTAATTAAATCTGTACAAATTTTTTTAAGCAATCTCTGTAAGAAAGAATAATTATTTCCAACCATCGTCGTTTACGACACGATTAAATTATCATTATTATCGATTACCTCGTCCGAATAATTCAAGATGCTCATACTGTACATGAGACTCGAACAGGCTCCGGCGTTCAACACTTTGTTATATTCCATTATATTCTGGAAGAGGTAATTCAACAATGGTATATTCCTATCGCGTAGAAGCGCCAGCTTGTTAACTTCCTGTACAAATAAAACGACCGGTGTGTCAAAATTAATCCATCTTTCGAGTAACGACAAGCAGAATGAGCGTTATACTTTGATCATTTCGGAAGTAGACAAATCGCAATATCTACTCATATCTTCCTCGACATTTTCTACTTTCAATTCGCTAGAACATTTGCTTTCTAGAACATTGTCACTCTTTTCTTGGCTCTTGAGCACATTTCTACCATCTCTATATCAATTGGCAACATCGTCATGATTATAATAATTATTATTATTCTTATTATTATTTTATTACGTACGTTACCAAGCGTTCGCACTTACTCTTTAACATTGTTCTTGTTTACCCAGAAAGATATGGTCCCCATAGCTTTAACAATGTTGTTCTGGGATAACAAAGGAGTCTTCATGAGTTCTAGCAAATCGTGGACGTTTCTAGCATTTTGAATCTTTGAAGAAATCGACGGGTCTACGTTTAGGTCACTGCACAATTTCGTCTTTAATTCGTTAAACTTGGAGACTGTGTCTATTTCCTTGCCTTGGAGACTCGGCTACAAACGTAAATAGCCATCTTATAATAAACATAGAGTCATACAGATTCGATGCTAAATAAAATGGTATTATAAATCTTTGTTTAAAATAACTCGAGATTAAACCTTTAGATTGTTGTCAACTTGTTGTTGCTGTTCTGTCGTTTTTGTTGCTGCATTCGTTGTTAAAGTAGCATTTAATCTCCACAAAAGTCTGGACGTACATCTCGTTGCTATTGTAAAAACTGTCGAATTAAATTGCAACATTTTCAACCTGTCCAACAAGAATGTATGAATCAACTAGACGACTAACCAAGTAATATTTAACTTTAAATATAGTTTATCATTATTATTATT